AATGGGATCAATGAAAATAATATTTTTATTACTTGGTGAATGTATTACAAACTCTTCAACTCAAGTTCAATTTCTTACAACAGATCCTCCACATATTCAATCTAAAGATATACTTCTATTATATATGATTGATTATCAAGATGATAATTCTGATTGGTCTGATAAAATAGAAAAATATTTTGCTTATCCAAATGATTCTATATTTAATAATATAATCTATAAAACTTATTTTGAATCTTATGAAATAAAGTCTACTAGACCAAGTAATTCTCAAAAAATAATATATTAGGATACTTTAGGAAACTTTGTTATTAAATATAAAACTAAAATACTTACTTGATATAGATTTTTAAGATTAGATCATGGTGAACTATACTTTTATCAATAATTATTATTAAAATTTTCTTGCAGATCTGAACAAGAAATGATTAGAGAATTTCAAACTTATCGAGATCAATTTTTTTCAATTTTCTGATTTATATCAATCAATAATTACACAAACTTCTAATTTTATATCAGACTAATTAACTCATACTTTAAACCAATATAATTCAATAATTGAAACAATTATTTCTTCATTACATCCTATTTTAACTGATAATATAATTAATATAATTAAAATGCAATTAGATTCTTTTAAAATATTACCATATACTATACTACCAAATATAATAGTTAATTTAGCCCAAGTCAATATCATTGCTATCAAACTATAACAAACTATTTAGATCAACAAGATGCTTCACATTACCCTTATTTTTTTATTACAGGTTCTGCTGGTAATGGTAAATCATTTATGATTCATGTTCTTTTAGATTATTTTAGAAGAATTAGTCGAAAATATTTATAAATAACACCTACAGAAATAGCAGCTTTAAATGTAGGTGGAAAAACAATTCATTCTGCTTTACGGAATAGCTTCAAATGAATAACAATTCCATTCTCTTATATTTCAAGATTCAGAATTTTGTAATGAACTTATTCAAATTAATACACTTATTATTGAAGAAGTTTCTATGGTATCGGCCCTCTTTTAACATTTATTTTTGAACTATTTGAATGTCTACACAAAAATAACTATCTATTTGCAGGATTAAATGTTATTTTAGTAGGTGATTTAGCACAACTACCTCTAGTTAATACACCTTCTGTATACCAATCACCTATATAGAAAATATTTTATCTCTTATTTCTTCGTGATCCACAAAGACAAAATAATGATCATATATTCTATAATATTCTACAAAAAATTAGATATAGCATTATAGATGATCAAACATGATATATATTAACTCAAAAACAACAAGAAACAATTAGTTCTCCTCAAATAAATACCATATTTAATACTACTCATATAGTTGATTATCATGAAACAGCTGAAATAATTAACAAAACAATATGTGCTTCAATTCCTGCTCTTGAAAATAAAATCTTAATTTCTAATTGCATTGATATTATAAATGGTTAAATATATTCTAATAACTCAAGATATCGTGAGTTTACTAATAAAACAAATTTACCTAATACAATTAGAATTAAGCCTGAAGCCAGAGTTATGTTTTTAAATAATTTTCAATATAATCATTATATAGCTAATGGAACTATAGAAATTGTAACAGATATTAATTTGCAAACTGGTCTTATCTATGTTAGTTTTTGTATTGAAGGAGCTATTGTTAATATTTCATTTTCTAAATATACTCACAATTTTTATCTAAATGGCATTCCTGCTAGTTGAACACAACATCTTATACAAAATGCTTTTGCTCTTACAGTACATAAAACACAAGGATTAACTCTTCCTAATGTATCTTTAAATTTAGATGATCAAATTTTTAAAACTGGACAAGCATATGTAGCATTAAGTTGTTGTTCAAAATAGGATCATATAAAAATTCATTCTCTTACTCGTAGTGCATTTATTGTTGATCCATCTATGATTAAAGAATATAATTAACTAGAATCTATAGCCCAAAATCTATTACCATTAAATAGATAAAATAGTTTCTTATTCTTAAACTTTAACTAAAAAAAATTGTTATTTTACTTATTATAATAAAATTTTGTTTATATTATAAGTAAATTTTTTATAAATTTTAATTCTTATATATATATTTATATATAATATATATATATTATCTAAACTACCATTTGTAAATTACTTAATTTTATATATAATAAAAACAGTTAAATATATTTTAAAAACTAAATTACAATTAATTTGTTGTATATATTAATACAATATTTATATTATAATTTAATATATATAACAATATTTAAAATATGTATATTGTAAAAATAATAAATTATTAATTGTAATACATTTTCTATATTTAGTAAATCAAATATATATACTATAAAAGGTAAATATATAATAATATAACTTAGTTATAACTAAAATTATTTACTATAATATAGTAAATATAATTTATTAAACTTATCTAACTTAATTAATTTATTTTACTTATCAACCTTAATAAATTAGCAGCTTTATAATATAAATTCAGCTTGTATTATAATAATATAAAAATATTAAAATAATATTTTTTATCTAAATAAAAACTAAATTTTAAAAATAAAATCTTTTAATATACTAAATAAAAATATTTAACTCTAATATATTATATTTTTATTTTATAAAAATTATTACTCTATATTTATTAAATATTATACTTTAATATTTAAAAAAAATCTATTTATAATACAAACCCTTATATATTGAACTAATTTCAAATAAATTTACTATTAATATTATTATACTTTATTTAATATTCTGTAATATTATTACTTTATCCTATATTTTAATTATCTGTTTTAGTTAAAAAACCTATTTATATATTTATAAAAAAAGGATATTGTTAAATATCACAGGTTGCTATATCGCAAGTTAATATAATCGACCAATGT